GCTATTCGTTTAAGATGATTTTGTGTGCGTGCAAAGCTCTTATAAATTAAAAGCGAGTTTGAGATATTTGGATAGTAATGAAAAAAAAGTGTATTGAGATGCAGAGATAATTAAAAACCAGAATTATGATGACAAAATTTATATCATATTTTTATCATCTTTTTCTACTTAGTTGGATCATTCGTTGAGTCCAAGTATTTCACTTGTACATTGTTAGTTTAATTTTTATGTTTCAAGCTACAGCATGCATTAACGTTTTTTAAAGAAATATAATAACGTGAGCTTTACATGTCATTTGACAGTGTATATCAGGAAAAGAAATTACACATTTCATTGTTTTACACAGTTTAAAGATAGTTGTAGAAAGCCGAAAGATGTAAACTTGTAATGTGAATATATATATATATATATATCAATTTTTACATGTTATAATGAAAAAGTATCCACATTAACTTCTGAAGTTGGACACTAGAAAGGTGGTGACATCTATTGACCAACCAAAAAGATAAAGAAATTCATATTATGTGTATTTCACTATTTATTGTTGTTGTTGTTTGTTATTAAGCACAAAGCTACACAAAGAGCTATCTGTGCTCTGCCAACCACGGGTATCAAAACCCGATTTTTAGCAGTATAAATCCACATACATACCATTGTACCACTAGGGGCACTATTTATTGTTTTCTTACTTTTACACGAGCAAACGAAAAAACCTTTGTCAATGGAATGCTATTTGGAATGCTGTCCTAAAATATGTATTTAATTTCCTTTCTAAATTTGAAAGAAGAAAAAATTAAGAAAAACTAGCAAAGTTTTACAAACTGGAAAAGCTTAAAGGAGATTCTCTAGTTGCTTTTTTGGTTTAATATTACATAGTTGGGAATTTGTGGTAGAGATTGATCAAGTGTATAACAACGCATTCCTCTTTCGTCTTCATTTAGATAGGTATCCGATTTTTGATCTCATGAGAAATATAAATTGCTGCTTCAGGAAAGATTTTAAAATTTATAAGAAAGAATAGATAAATTCGATTTTCACGTTACACGCAGGAAATACATTGCTGTATAAAAACGTAAAATATTCTTCAATATATAGTCGTATTCATTATTAAGGTAATCTTTCACAATATCGTGAAACTATTTGACTGGATTGGCAAGTTGTATATGGCATTGTAGTTTTAGCCTAAATACCTAATGTTTATAAGTGAGAATTATAGGCACTTGTTTAATGTTAAAATCAAATAGATAATTAAGATAAAGCGTTTTATATTTATACAATTTTTCTCTGTCTTGCGAACTCCTTCGCCGTTAATTCCGATACTAGATTCATAACTATGAATGATCTTCACTTGTGCAATATTAAAAATAATTCAATAAAAAATTTAAATACAAAATTTCATATTTACACTACAGTTGCTATCGTTGTGCGGGTTGACTTTGATTATTCGGTAAAAATAATGCAAAGTCCAGTACACTTAGCGAAAATATAAGTTATATATTTTCAATAAAAATTTAACAACTTGTCCAGTTTCACGAACAAATGGTAACCAAGTGATAGGCCTAAATGATAAATAAAACGAAACAGTTAATTACTTCATAACTTTCTTCGATACGGAACTAACTCAAAAATGTAGAACATTGAATTAACTTACCAACTAACCATCTAAGTCACTGTTTGATTAACTCACTCACTGATTAACTGGCCGACAAACTCAGTAATCGATTAGCATCAGAGTAGCAGACTTACTAAAACTCACTGTCCAATTGGCTGGCTCACTAACTGGCTAACGAACAAAGTAGCTATGACGCTTTTATATAAAATTTCGTTTTTCCCCAAGTATCTAGAAAACTTGAGACATAAGGTCAAATCTAGACACTCAAGGAATTGTTCGGTATCACCACGTCATGCCAGAACTCCTTCTTACAAAATGTCTAAATTAAAATATTAAAAACATATCCTACAACACTGCCCTTCTCCGCATTCTAAGGTCCTTGAAATATTCTAATACACAATGAAACAAATGTACACTAAACTTTAAATTTTATATTTAGCAATAAAAATCACTATTTACAATTAAGAAAATTAATACCGATACGTTAGACATCACTGTTATTGAATCAATACTGAATTATATAAAATACAATCTTAATTTTGATCAACGAGGCAATATATGTTTCTTTAGTGATTTACAGTCTCTAAGTTTCCTGTTATTAAATCCTTTTTTATGGGTTTCTCTTCCGTTGCTTATGATACGAAAATGAAATGATTGTTTGCCCTTTATTGTCATTTGCTGTCTTATCTCAGAGGGAGTTCGCTGTGGGTAGATGGTCGAGACAATCTATTACTCTCTGGTGATACTCTGGAAGTGTATTGAACAGGAATCTCGGATTCTTCAGCAGGTTAACTTATCTCTGGTGTAGATTTTACTGGAGCTGGTTGTCCTACTGTCGACGTTTTTAAAAGACGATCACAAAATATGATTTTTTGGCATGAATCACCTATTCTTCTGGATTCTATTCTGTTGCACTCAAGGTCGGTTGCTTTAATTAACCTGTGCATCCATCCTGTATATTACATGAAATCAAACATTTGGTGGGGTGTCATACGTGCATGGGGATTTACTGGTCATAGAGTATGAAACTATTTGAAACTGGTCTAGTTTCACATCCCTGTCTTAACATGAAATCATTTCCTTCCAAGATGCACATTTCCTCGATGTCAATTACCCATACGTGATATTCAATAGAGATGTTTCCAATGGTGAGAATGACTTTCACCTTTTGGAACTTTATGACCAAATCCATCTTTATGCTTCGTATCTGCAAGCAACTTTCCATCTTTCATGACCATATCAGGTCGCACAATTGTAGCTGCAGAAACAGTTCAGCCCAACATACTGCTAGGCTTCCTATCTATAAACCTCTTTACTCGTGAACAGGTTTCTTTAAATAATACACACCTTATTCCTACGCGGGGCAAATGGGCAGATGGAGTATTCTCATTCTCAATATATCATCTTTTTAGCTCATTAACTACAACTTATTCATCATAGTGTCGGATGTCCATGTTTTCCACACTTATAGCAGTTTCCTTCTCCTGTCCATCCTTCAGGAGCAGTTTCTAGCAATATATCATTTTAAGTTGCAATAGAAACATCTTCCTTCATGTTGTTTACTTCTTCCATTCTAACATAACAGTTCTTTAATGAATCGTTTAATGAATATTATGTCTTGCCAAAACTCTATCGAGCAAACAATGCAAAACTTCTCAATGAAAGTACTAAAAACCAAGCCTACAACAATATTATTTTCGTTATTTTTGTTCATTGGCCGTATCATAGGGATATCTAGAACGTTGCATATAGTCAGTGTTTTAATACCTTGGAATTTGTAGAACGTTAGGAGTCAGTAGGCTACTACCAAAAGAGTATTATGTTGAATATTATGTGCTTAAGTGTATATTAGTTAGTTAACACATGCCATGATAAAAGAAAATTATTGCCCAATATGTGTAGCTGTATCTGAGAAAACAAATCTGAATCATACAGCTTAATAACAATCATTTATAAATATAATTAAAGGTATTACTTCTATTAATAAAAAATGTTGCAAATATAGAAGTGTAACTTTTAATAATGTCGCGAGCTCCGTCTTGAGTTTGACAAGATATATGTATATATATAAATAGCTAGATAATGATCAATATTTCGAAAATAAGTTGGTGTAGAAAGAATGTCAATATTACTCAGACGTTTTGATTCTCATAGCGTAGCTAAGCAAGACAAATTGTATACGATGCAAAAGTCAATGTAGTTGCCTGAGCTTTAAAAACTACCTTTGCCATTGACTTTGTCTACGTGTAATGTACGAAAGGGGAGATAAGACAAAATATTAAATTTCTAAATGGTCTAAATAAATATTTAATTACTTTACCGCCTTTGCTTTAAAATATTTAACTTTATATAAATGAAATTGCTTCGAAATACAGCCGGCCACTATAGGTAATCTTTATTTCAACGTTTGTAATGTTGCTATAATGTGCAACTTGGGAACTGTTGGTAGTTTTGTCTTTGTTTAGTGTCATTTCTAAGATAGGCAGAAAATAATTGTAAATACTGTAATCTTCCAAATGCATTATTGTTCATAGTCTCGTGCTTTACCCGTATCTATATTTAATTTTCACAGATGTTTTTTTTTTCACTTTATTTTTGTGCCGAATTGTAGTTTATGCTATAATCTACTAATATTATTCAACATAACACGTTTTTTCATATACCAAAAACGTACGTTAAAAAACGCGTTGTGTTTATTTTTAATTAAAATATTTGTTGACCATTCTTTGTAACTATATGGTATTTGAAATTTGAATCTCAACGGTACCTTAGACAGTATATGAGCTGAACGGTCAGTGCAGAGGTCCAAGGTTTAGGCATAACCTTTCCGAATTTAGAACTGCTGACCAGAAACAGAACAGCCAGTCAGCAGCTATCGCCACCTACACACGGCTTCTCTTAATCGAACAGAGGGATTAACTGCCATTTTTATAACGCACCCACACCTGAAAGTGTGAAGCGTGTTTAGCAATATATCACGGTCTCGAACGTTTGATCTTCCGATACAAAGCCCAGTAACTATATATCATTACACGGTTGGACTATAGATGAGGTAATTATGATGATTTTTCGATTAATCAGAAGACAAAGTAAGTAGTGAGTTAGGCTAAAATTTAGGCATTGAGACATTTTTTAGCTTTCAACTTAAAACTAGGTCTAAGAAACTACGAAATAATTTTACTTGCTCCAACTTTGGTAGCCTAGTGAGACAAAAATTAACGGTTTATTTTGATATGAATATCCTGTTTTAATTACAGAAACAAATTGAATTTCATTATGTTGTTCTGTTGAGCTATAAAACTTTCCCCAAATAAGTTGCCACTGTTTAATTTTTGCTTATCTTTTACAATGTCAAAAAGGATGAGAAATGATGAAACCGTTCAGTGTACAAGAGAAACATTTATTGTTGCCAGAAAATTATTAAAACTTCGCAAGATCTTGATGAACACAGCCAAAACAAAAATCAGATTTATCAATATATTTAAACATAAACACTGAATTAAATCATACAAATTACAACGAGCACGCAAAAAAATAACGGACACTGAATTGCTATTTGATACAAACTTGTAGAAAATTAAATGTGTAAAAAGACAATGAAGCATAGTCAAAAATCAAGCATGATATATTACGGATCCTCGCTGTCACTTTCTTAACTTATAAATTTGAATAACTGAGATAGATAAGACATTACAACAGTAATTCCAATTGTATGTTTTGTTTTCCTGAAAAGTAAAATACCCAGTGTATATAAAATAAAAATCTAGGATTTGAAAATCATATCGATTTTGTTCTGTTTCAAGAATTCATCAATACAATAAAAACTTCCATAAATATGTCATAATTCATTAAAATAATACTTTCTATTATCAAAATAATTTAATTTAATATAAACACAATCACCAATCCACTTTGAAATAAGAAGGGCAAATATATTTTGCGTTTATATAAAGGTATGACAATACCAATAAATTGGTTTGTTGTACATGTGTGCAAAACCTTTCATTTAAAAAAAAACTGTGAGAACCAACATAAGAAAAACACGTATAATATACACAGCATTCTGCGAGAAATGTTTGATCAAGCTCTTTAAACTAAGGTATTTAACAATAAAACAAAATGTTTCTTTAACTGTTATTAGTACTGAGTAAATTACTTTATGTCAAACCCTGTAAATACGTTTTATTTCTTCTTCATTTTATCGTATTATTTATATCGGTGTACTTAACAACTTTTATATTAAAACTGACATGACTTTTAGTTTTAGATGTCAATAATTTTAGACGTTTGTAACCGTTATATGATAAAGCTTACAGTCGATTAAAATTTCTCTTCAAAACAAACAAAAAAAAAAACCAGAAGAAAGAGAGCAAAAGTAAGTTCTTTGGACAGCCAAATAGTTTGTTTGGTTATCCAAGGACCTTACATTTGCTTTCTTTTTTCTGTTTTATTTTTTATTGTTGTTGTTGTTGTTGTTCCTTGATAAAACAAAAAAAAAATACTATTCCATTAACGTTCCTTAAATAATCAATAGATGGCGACACCACTGTAGCATGATGCATCTGACTAACTAATTTACCACTTAATCCTAATGCGGAAATGGAACACCCATTGCATTTAGTTGTACTTCACTCATTTGAAGAGAAATTTGTTCTCGCAGTTTAACTGTTGACAAGCTTAAGTTTCAACTCAATTGTAAAGTTTCTTAGTTGGCACTGTTTGTTTGTTTGTTGTTGTTAAATATACTAAGTAAGCCCACTTGTAAAATAAATTGACAATAAGATTTTAAAGCAATATGACATGACTCCATAGTTAAATTCCTTAAGACCTCATAAATGAATATTGTTGAAATAGAATCTTATTTCTTTAGGACTAAAAATTCAAAAGTTTATAACCTTAAATAAATCTGGATACGAAATCCGTTTGTATTCGATTTTTATGTATACATTAAAACAGAAATAAAACATAGATATAATCCTGCATAAATCTACAAAAATAAGTTACGTATCACAGGCTTTATTCAATAATTGTTAATATATATTATAGGTTTAGCTCAATAAATGTTTTAACGAACACAAGATAAAAACTGTTCATTGGAATAAAAACATTAAAGTATCAAAAACTATACCTTTGAAACATGTTTTTCTTTTTGTTGTTGTTGTTGAAATGTACGTTGGTACCATATTCATGAATCATATTGTTTCACTTCGTCTTATATTGAAAATGTTTTTATTTTACTTTCAAGAAACTTGCCATAATGTACTTCGTGTGTGCTATGCTAAAGAAAAGGCTCGCCATATTTAAATTCAACAATAGCCCTTTGAAAGAGTAATTGTAGCTTGCTAGTTTGGTTAATATTAGGTCATATCTGAGCTTTAAGTGTATAAGGTATTTTGGAAAAGGTACTAGATATAATACTTTTTCATACACTAATTATTAAAACTAAAGTGTAAAAGTGACTTAATATATACGTTGCTTGTTTACCACGTACTAAAGAAATGAACATATTTTTCTAATTTTAATTCCTAAATACTCTTTGAAAATGGTTGATTTTCCTGTCATAGTTTCAAAATCTATTTCATACATTATAAAGATGCAAGTATAAATAAAAATAAAAATCTTGTCTTGTGTTTATTTTTCAAAGCGATATTTGAATTATTTAGTATAATAAGATTCTAGTTATGAGACGAAAGAGTTACAATAATAACTGTTTGCCTGAAAGCTAAGCTCGACGTTTTACTCATTATTATCGTAACAAAACCATTTTCCAGGAGTTAACACTGGAATGAAATATCATAAAATATTTTTATTTGAGTTGGTAAATATCTCGTCAAATCAAAATTAAAAGTAATAACAGTAATAAGTAAAAGAATCGCGTGCCAACTAATAAGTACTTCTTAGCAGTATTATGTGTCTATTTTTTCGAATATTCTAAAACGCAAAAATTCTTTAAATAAATTCAAATATCGATTACAGACTACAGCAGTATATTTGGCAAGAACTGAATGTTATTACTTACTGCTGAAGGGAACACGTGCACAACAATCAACAGAAACAGTCTACAGCTACAGCCTGTATCATTACATGATACACCACAGTATTTGACAGTGATATGAACAGGTGTGACGTTTCAAAATGTTTCATAGTTTTCCATTTCCATGCTTGTAAGACCTATGAATATTCTCTCTGTTAAGTTATAGATGAATAAACTACACACTTCACCGGTTCATTAAGGCGATAAATTACTTCAATAACACACGTACGTCAACGGTAAACGATCATTTGTTATGAATTCGCGATTTTGACACGACAGCAGTAAAATTCACTTGACGTTAGTTCATGATTTATTAACAAACACTTTCTAGTTTATTGGAATATTTTGTTTTGACTGAATAGCTTTTTTTAAAGAAACAAAATGAACTTAGATTTTGTTTGGTCTGGTTACTTGTTTTTAGTAATCTGATATTTAAAATTCAGATTAATTATTGGATCTTTGGTTTGAAGTTTTTCAGGGTAAACAAAAAGAGTTCTTTTAAACCTTTAGTTCTGACCCAATGATACGTCTATAGTTTAAAAAGGTGTAAAACTTTTACTAACAATGGAAGCTTTTCATAAAGTGTTACTTCCAGAATATGATACGAAATGTTCAAAATGTAATTGATAGTTAGTTAAGTTTCGTCTCGCACAACCACAACTACTATTGATGGAATTAGTGACGTCAGAGCCACGTTTTTTTCTGCTAACAACCCACGTGGGAGAAAGAGACGGACGCAAACTTACTAAACCAATCTGAACACCCTCTAGTGATTTTAACACTGCACTATTAAAGACTGGAATTAAAGTCTTTTCTAGCGATAAATGAAATGTTCCCTTTTTGTTGTTGTTGAAAACATGTAAGTGCCATTTGTTCAACAGAGAAAGGTGTCATCTTCCAAAGAAATTGTTGACAGAAACCGTTTATTCGGTTTTCAAAGCTCTGATGCGCACTCGATAGCACAATCGAAGAAAAGCTCTTTCTAATGTAATGCTTTATTCATAGACGGTCATTGGCCTCAAGGAGCTCATGTGTCAGTTCGGCCGTGCACTACTTCAGAGTGCTTATAAATGTGATTCTACAAGTGAATGTTGATTTTAATCAGGTTTTGAAATGTGAAGGAATCGCTCTAGCAATTTATTTTGATCACTGTACTCTATTGGGTTCTACATTCTCTTTATATATATATATATAACTACATTGACTGAGATAAGCTTCTGTGTTTGCCCAAACCTGTCAGTTTAAAAAAAACAAAAACCTCTTGTTGAATGAAAATACCCCACTCTGCTTGTGACGCTGAGATTAGATAATTGTCGGGTGGTAGGTCAAGGGTTACGCAAGTGGACGGGAACCAATCGGGGTAAATATGCCGCCCAGTTTTCCAAGCACTATAAAGCAGCCTTATTCGTAAAGTAGGTTTTGTCAGGTATATTAGGTCATTTGCTTTTTTGGCTTGCTTTACTGTTTCAGGCACTAAATTGCACTGGAGAAAAGTTTGGGCATCGTGTGACCATTGAATTGGTTAAAACTGAATACATACGGAACGTTGTCTTGAGAAGAAAACTAGAAGAGCACTCTGTATGATGTCAAATAATTGAACTCCGACCACAAAAGTAACTAGAAATTGGAATTTCAAGAATGATACTTGAGAGAACAATGATTTTCCTCTTGAAATGGCTTGCCTACCGATATTCCAGGACTTCCAGTATAAAACTTCGATCTCTTTTAGGGTTAGCTTGCTATCAGGACTGATGGAAAACTGGAAGAGAGGCAAAAAGCCTCGACCCCAGCACACTAGTGTTGAAGGTAGTGAAGAAGACTGCTCTGACTGTTAACCTTATGTGCCGAAACTGACTTGGAACCTGGACGGAGAGAGGAGTTGAATAACAAACCTGGCCCTCTCCTTACTCCCACTGATGAGTAGTAGGAACTTTCCCTCGGGTGTTCGGCCAATCTAACCCTGCGGCTGGGTGTATGTTCAAGTTCCACGCAGTACTGAAGAGACTTAAGAAATTGGCGGTTACGACATGTACGGTCGTTTACTTATGGCACATCGTGAGAATCACATTCTAAATCAGATGGTATGACCTAATTCAAGTTATAAATTGGTCCAAAGAGACAAGCCACAATGATAAAGAGACGACTTACTAACTAAACCTGGTACTCCGCTTTTTGGTCTGGGCGATGGTCCGATGCTGAAAAGAAAAAGATAAAACCAACAAACACACATATATCGTTATTTTAAACAGAACTGCTTTCACTAATGACATTAACAGAGATTTTGTATAGATCCTACATTTTATATTTGTTATAACTCTTACGCATAACGTGAACGGTACGAAATATGGCAACTTGGAAGATTCTGGTAGATGGCCGCACAGAACAAACTTTTTCATGAATTTTCTTAACGAAACCAACGAATGTAACGTCTTTCGAACAGGTTCTCTGATCTGTGGACGTGATAATGGCTGGAGACGGCTTGAATGGGTAGTGAAGAAAACTTTAATATAAGTTTAACATGACAGCAAATGTACAAA